GAGCTAATTGGAAATTTCACTGCCTATGAACTTAGAAGGCAAACCATGAAGATGGATGCACCCAAGAATGAAATGAGCCTGGCCCTTAGAATAGTTGAAGGTGCAGATCTAGAGGAAGATGAAATGGCTATGATCACGAGGGATTTTAAGAAGTACCTAATGAGAGGAAAGGGTTCTTCAAGAGGTGCAACCTTCAACAAACCAAGGGTCCCTGAAAAACAGACCAACAAGGGCTGCTACAAATGTGGTAAGACTGACCACATGATCAAAAACTGTCCTCAGTGGGAAATTAAATGGAAGAAAGAAAGGGTTGAACGAAGAAACATGAAGAAGGAACAGGTTCATCCCAAGAAGAACAAAGGATGAACAAAGGCTATGGTTGCTGCTTGGGGAGAGAGCTTAGATGAGGATTCAGAACCTGAAGATGGAGATGAACAAGCACTGATGGCCATTGGAGAATCCGATGAGGAATCAGAGTTAAGTGTGATTCATCTCAAAGACTAGATTAAATTTTTGTCCAAAGAAAATCCATCTGAGTTACTGCTAGATTTTATTGATGAATCTGAGGTCATAAACAATGAGAAGGAACAACTTTCTAGGGAATGTGTAATCTTGAAAGCTAAGTGCAAAAATCTGGAACTCATGGCTAGTGAAAGTGATAGTAAATATGTTGAGCTGAAGAACCAGGTTCTTGAACTTGACACCACTGTGCTAGAGCTTAGATCTGAAATTTTAAAACTGAAACTAGGAACAAGTAAAATGAAAGCTGATCATACACATCTCACCTTAGAAGAAAATCTAGGAAAAATAAAGATGAGTTCTACAAAAAGGACGAGCAGATAAGAGTCCTAAAAGAAGATCTAAGCAAGGTTAAGCATGAACTAGACAGAACTTGTAAATGGAATAAGTCCTCTGATGCTCTATCATGGCTACAAGAACACCACAGTAGCAATAGAAGAAGACTTGGCTATGGGACCCTTACACCCAAGTGGGATCCCAGAAGCAAGTATATCACACTTCTTGAGAACAAAATCTGCACATACTGTGGTAAGACTGGTCACTACGAAAGTGCGTGCACTGCAAAAGAAAAGGCCAGTCAAAAGAACAAAACTTTTGTTCAAGGGAAAAATAGGCTGCCAGGATGGGCTAAAAAGAACTTAATACACCCTTTTGCCTATAGAAAGGGACCCAAACTAGTTTGGATTCCTAAGACTAACCCCAGATTTCTTTTTGTAGGTCCAAGTGAAGGGGAGCAGCCAAATATGGTACATGGATAGTGGCTGCTCAAAACATATGACTGGAAGCAAGAACCAGTTCCTTTCACTTGAGAACCTAAAAGGAGGTAATGTCTCCTTTGGAAATGGTAAGAAAGGTGAGATCATTGGGGTTGGAAAGGTAGGTAAGACAGGCTCAAACTCCATTGAGAATGTCTACCTGATTGATGGCTTGAAATATAGCATAATCAGTGTATCACAACTGTGCGACAGAGGTAACCTGGCATTCACCTCTACCAAATGTTTTGTGATAAATCTTACCACTGACAAGATTGTTTTGCAGGGAAATAGAGTAAACAATATATACATTGTAGATCTATCCACTCTTTCAGAAAATGAACTCACTTGCTTAAGTGTGTTGGACAATGATCCCCTCATTTGGCACAAAAGACTTGGACATGCAAGTCTAAGTCAACTCGACAAATTAGTCTCCAAGGACCTGGTGATAGGGCTGCCTAACATCAAGTTTAAGTAAGACAAAGTTTATGAGGCGTGTGCAAGGGGGAAACAGGTAAGATCCTTTTTTAAATGAAAGAAAGTGGTAAGCACGACCAGGTCGATGGAACTGGTTCATATGAATCTCTGTGGTCCAATGAGACATTAAGCAGAGGTGGTAAAAAATATGTGATGGTGCTTGTTGATGATTACTCTAGGTTTACCTGGACATTGTTTTTAACTTCTAAGGATGAAGCATTTGACATGTTTACTTCTTTTGTTAGAAAAACTCAGAAACAACTAGGTAATCAACTTGCATCAATTAGGTCTGATCATGGAACTGAATTTAAAAATGCTAAGTTTGCTGAATTTTGTGATGAGCATGGAATAGATCATTTTTCTGCCCCTAGGACTCCACAACAAAATGGAGTAGTAGAAAGAAAGAACATGACACTTGAAGATATGGCTAGGACTATGCTTCTTTCTAGTAAACTGCCCCATAGCTTCTGGGCAGAAGCTGTAAACACTGCATGTTACATCATTAATAGGTGTATGACTAGACCTCTTGTAGAGAAGACTCCCAATGAGTTACTTAAAGGGAGAAAACCAAATATATCCCATCTTAGGGCATTTGGATGCAAGTGCTTTGTGCACAACAATGGACCTAGGTAAGTTTGATCCAAGAAGTGATGAGGGAGTATTCTTGGGATTTCTTCACAAGCTTATAAAGTGTACAACAAAAGAACTATGTGGGTAGAAGAAAGTGTACATGTAGTTTTTGTTGAAACTAACATTCTTTCTGAGAGACAGGAACACAAAGATGAAGCTATTGGGCTAGTAAAAGGTTTAAATAAAGTCACAGCCCAAGCTGAAGCTGCACCAGAAGAAGGAATAGGTTCTTCCATCCAGGGCAACCTGACAGGGGGAACTGAACTAAGAATAACTCAATCTAACTCCCAAATGGAACATGTCCACGGGCATGTTCCCCAGCAACAAAACATAGGAGAAACATCAAGAAGAAACCAGTTGGTTGTGAAACCTTACAAGTATCAAAGTTCTCATCCCATTGAGAACATAATTACTGACCCAACTTCGGAAATCAAAACTAGATCTCAATTAAAGAATCTGTGTGCTTTTGATGCTCTCCTATCTCTTATCGAACCTAAAAATGTTGTTGAGACTTTGCAGGATGCAGACTGGATAAATGCAACGCAAGATGAACTCAATCAGTTTGAAAGGAGTCAAGTTTGGCATCTGGTTTCAAGAACCAAGGACAGATCGGTAATTGGCACTAAATGGGTATTCAAAAACAAACTTGATGAAGATGGAACTATTACAAGGAACAAGGCAAGGTTGGTGGTTCAAGGTTATAGCCAAGAGGAGGTCATAGACTATGATGAGACATTTGCTCCGGTTGCAAGATTGGAAGCAATAAGACTCCTCATAGCCTTTGCGGCACACATGGAATTTACTCTTCACCAGATGGATGTCAAGAGTGCTTTCCTAAATGGCTACTTTAAGGAAGAAGTATTTGTCAAACAACCTTCAGGGTTTGAAAGCAAGGAGTGTTCGCATCATGTATACAAACTGGACAATGCACTCTATGGACTCAAGCAGGCTCATAGAGCATGGTATGAACGACTATCCAAATTTCTACTTGAACATGGCTACAAGAGAGGTAGAATTGATAGTACTCTATTCTTGAGGGAAAAAGGTAAGGATCTTCTAGTGGTACAAATATATGTTTATGACATAATTTTTGGGGCAACCACTGAAAAACTTAGTAAGGAATTTGCTAAATTAACGGGGAGTGAATTTGAAATGAGTATGATGGGTGAGCTTAACTTCTTCTTAGGCTTACAGACTAAACAAAACTCAAATGGAACCATGATCCATCAACAGAAATGTGAAAAAGAGTTGATTAAGAAGTTTAAAATGGACGAATCAAAGGAAATAGACACTCTTATTGCAACAGCCACAAAATTAGACATAGATGAACCTGATTCATCTGTTGATCAGAAGTTGTATAGGGGTATGATTGGTTCACTTTTGTATCTTACTGCTAGCAGACTTAACATTGTCTTCAGTGTAAGTCTTTGTGCTCGATTTCAAGCAAATCCAAAGGAATCCCACTTGACTGCTGTCAAGAGAATATTGAGATACTTGAAAGGCACTACTGAACTTTGCCTTTGGTATCCAAAAGGTAGTAACTTTAATCTAGTGGGATATGCTGATGCTGACTATGCAGGTTTCCTTGTGGACAGGAAGAGCACCTCAGGTATGGAATACTTTCTTGGTTCATGTCTGGTGTCATGGGCCACTAAAAGTTAAATTTCAGTGGCCTTATCTACTGCTGAAGCTGAGTATATTGATGTTGCCTCCTGCTGTGCTCAATTGTTGTGGATCAAACATCAATTGATAGATTTTAGTATTGAAGTTGGTTGCATACCTATTTATTGTGATAACACTAGTGCTATTAGTATGACTAAGAACCCGGTTCATTATAAGAGAACTACGCACATAGATGTTAGACACCATTTCTTAAGGGACAACTATGAGAAAGGACTGATCACTATAGAATTTTGTGCTACTGATAAGCAGATTGCTGACATTTTTACAAAAGCACTGAGTAGAGAAAGCTTTGAAAGGAACAAGTTAGAACTAGGGATGATTAAGATCACCTAATGAAACCAGTTCAAAATGCACAAATTTTTTTTTGGTTAGGAAATCTGGAATAAATATCTAGATTAATTTTTGCTCAGTCTCATACTGTAAATAGTATACTCTTGTGTCATGTATTGATTTGACTCACTGATATCTAACAAAATTCTTCTATTTTGGCAAATTGAGGCATGATCAAAAGGATTCTTAGTGAAGAACCTGGCTCATCAGTACTGGTTCATCTGAATAACGAGGTATGTTTTCTACACTCTGCAGAATTAGAAATATTAATATTTAATTCATGAGCAGAGTCCTACCCATGTTTAAAAAATACTTCAAAAACCTATCCTTTTGAGTTTGAACCAGTTCCGTTTCAATTAGACTCCTCACCGTATTAAAATGCCTAGATTCTAGGGAAGATTAACCGCCTTTTCAACCTGAAATTTCAGAGTGATTGGACTTCTAATTGACTACAAAAGCTGTTGTTGGACATTAATTAACCCTCTCTCTTTAAAAACCATCATCATCACTGCCACTCTCATAATTCTCAAAACTGTCAATTTCCTTTCGTTCTCTACTCTTCTCTCTTCCAAAACTCACTTCAAAAATTTTCTTCCAGAATTAGCAAAGATGACCAACCCCCAAGATAACCCAGGCACTCCTCCACAACCTGCCCCCTTCGATTCCTCCACTACTCCTCAACCCAGCACAACCCCCCAACCTAGGAGAAGGCGAGTGAAGATGCTTGCTCGCAAAACTGTGGCTACAGGTGCACTTTCAAGGAAACTAATCGCAAAATTAAAGGTTAGTCAAGCCCAAGAATCTAAAACTCCGATGACTCTTTCAAGTCTGCGAGTGAAGGAGAAGGAACTGGGTCTTCTAATTCTGAGACGGCGCAAAATCCCCCTTCTGAGGTACGTTATGTTCTAGTTGAAAACTTGGACAATCGTTTTGTTTTGGTTGGGTCTGTTATGAATGTGGAAACACCTGAGTCAAGAAGGAGAGGGGGGAAAATGAAAGTGAAAAAGAAAAAGAGAGTGAGGGTGTGAGTAGTGATGTGAGGGGCAAAGGGAAAGAAGTGGTTGATCCTTCACCCACTTCTGAAATGGTTGGACTGGCCATCTGTGGGGCTGAACATGAAAAGGTGGTAGAGAGTAGAAGGAAAACAGGGGGAAGTGGCTCAGGGGAGGCTGCTGAAGGGCTGGTCAATTCACATGCAGATGAACCCGGTTCATCTATTGAGGAGACCCTAGCAGACCTTCTGAAGAAAGTGGCTGCAAGCTATAACCCCAAGAAAAGGAGAACTCCAACACCAAAAGCTCCTAGCACTGCAAATACTACTAAGAAAAGGAAGGCTACTTCTCCAACAACTGCTGATTTTCCTATACCAAAAGAAAGAGCCACAAGGAGTAAGTTGAAGAAGAGTGAGGATGAGTTACAAAAGGCTATGGAAGAAAGCAAGAAGAAAAGAATGAACAAAGGGAAAGCTAAGGTTACAGATCCTGTTGAGGCTGTTGATGTGGATGAGATGGACCCGGTCCATCAGGGTGAACATGTGACTATGGAGGTGCAGACCCCTAAGCCCAAGAAGACCAAGACTTCCTCCAAGAAGTCTTCATTTGTATCTAAGACTGCTGAACCCTCTTTGGCTAAAAGGACAAGGTCTGCTGTGAAAACCAAGCAAGTTAAAATCACTGAGGAGGAAGATTGGAGTGGTGAAGAAGAGAGTTAATCTGATAATGAACAAGACAAGCTGGCCAAGTTTGGCAAAAGAACCATCTTGAAGGGTAGACTTTTGAAGGATTTGGAGGAACCAGGGATGGTTCGACTTGTTGATGCTCTAGTTGTTCAGAGATGGAAGGACATGGTCCTTAAATTGGATGGTCGGCTGGCAAGGAATGAGATTATTGAGTTTATGGCCAATGTAGAGGTCAAGGATGGCTGAGTTACCAGCCAGGTGAAAGGAGTTCAAGTGTCTTTTGATGCTAAAAGGCTGGGTGAAATCCTTGACATTCCTTCTGAAGAGTATGATGACTACACAAGGTACAGATGGCCAAGTCTGGACTCCCTTCCTACTGCCCTTGCCATTACTATGAAGTTCAATGATAGCACTGAAATGAATGAGGCCAAGGTCGTGTATAAGAGTGAAATGAAGCCATGCCACAAAGTCCTGTTTGAATTTGTCAACAAGTGTTTGCTGCCTAGGCAGGAAAGAAGACACATTGCTAACTACATGGATTTGGTTTTGATGGAGTGTCTTGAAAGTGGGCGGCAGATCAACTAGCCTGGATTTATGATCAAGCTACTTGATAGGGTCATCATCTATGGATCCAAGGCCCATGCCACACCTTATGGTTTCATTCTCACTACTGTTCTTGCTCGTTGTACGGTGCCACTGAAGAAGTGGGAGATGGCCACAAGCAAAGACCATTTTGGAATCAATACTCTGATTGCTTGTGATTATGAGGTAATGCCATTCCCAATGAACCTGGTTCATCTAAAAAGACATCTATCAATAGCAAGGTCAGAGCTCTATTGCAGGAGAGTGGGGCAAAAGATGCTGAGATAGCAAGGCTGAAGACTCGTTTGGCAGAGGTTGAATCTGAGAGAGATGCTCTCAGAACTGAGCTCACAAAGGAAAAGGAGAAGAATGATGGCATTCTTCAAGACATGCTGCACCTTCTCCAATCCAAAACCCAACCCTCTAGTTCTTCCAAGCCTTAATTTCATTAGCCTTCATTTCTTGAACTTTGTCTAGACCTTTCAGTGACCCATATTAGGGATTTTTCTTGTTTTGCTCATGCTTTAGCTGTTTTTGTTTCTTTTTGTGGATTGTGGCAGAATCATATTCTCTATCAATGAAGTTTGCTGCTTTTTCTCTTGTTGACTGTTTATCTTTCCATGATAGTTTAAATATGTGTGGTTGATTACTGATGATTAATCCATGATTGCACTTGCAGTTGCCCCAGTAGCCATGAGTAATTTTTAAAATTCTGGGGATAACACTTTGTTTATGCAACTTTTGGATGATGCCAAAAGGGGGAATAGATATTGTGCTTTATATTATATTCTGAATAAGTGATATTTACAACCTAATGAACCTGGTCCTTGATGATAAGTGAAAAATTTCTAACTTTGCATTGATGATTGAGCTGAGTTCTGACAGGGCCTAAGTGAATGAAAAGCACAGAGTTTGTCATCATCAAAAAGGGAAATTTGTTGGCCCAAGTAAAGGTGAGTTTTGAAGACTGGCAAAGGAACTCAGACATGGACCAGGTCCATCCTAGTGAAGCACAGATATGGTCAACTCAAGCATGTGAGATGCACGTGAAGGAGATAAACCTAACTTAACAGAAGTGATATCTCCTGATCCTGATCGAAAAGGTTGCATATTGGATAAGGAGAAAGACTCCTTATGCAAAGAGAACACGGTTTAAGAAAGGGAAGGAGTTAGAGGTTGAGATCAACTAGAACTCTTCCACCAAGGAAGAGTAGCATAAGAATTCTAGTCAATCTCTATTTACTAACTCCATAAATATCAGTGTTGTTCTCTTTTACAGGTAACGCACATAAGCAGAAGTTAAACGTGAATTGAGAGCAAAATAGCAAGGCAATTTTGCAAGCAATTTATGTGCGATTCAAGCGTGCAAATCTGAAGCTACTTGAACCGGATAGAAGAACCAATTCCAAGTGTCTGTCTTTTATTCTAGTTCAATTGTAGTAGGTGTTTTCATATTGTACCTTTCAACTTTATCTAGAAGCAATTGTATTAGGTACTTAGAGTTTTCAAGTTAGAGTTAACTTGAAGTTGTCGCAACAGTTGAGGTTGTGTGCTACAATGGGATTAGAGTTAATCCTAGGTTTACAAAAGTATTTTGTAAATGCAGTTTTTGGCTCAGTGATTTTAGTGGAGAGTTTGGGAAAACCCTTCCGGAAAGTAGGTCGTGGTTTTTTCACCTTCTAAGCCACGTGTTTTTCCACGTAAAATCTTTGTGTCTTTAATTTCTGTACTTATTATTCCGCAACAGTAGTAGTTGAAACACATAGAAGAACCAGGTCTTTCCATAAACAACTTAAACGAAAAATTGGACACCACACAAATCACCCCCTCTTATGTGGTATTGAAGTATAAAACAACACACTGGCACACGATTAGGGAGACGTCTCATTCATGACTGAAGTTATTCACATTTGCTTTTATTTGTTTCTTTGTTTTCCTTTTTTGTTTGGAGGTTTCACGAAATTTGCACGAGCACTTACTATTTGATATTTTTCTTTTTCTTTTTTTTTTTTTTTTTTTTTTTTTTTTTTTGCATAGGTGGTCATTCTACATCTGTTGTTTGTTTATTTTCGTTGTAATTTCTGTTTCTTGCTATTTGATTCAAGTTCTCTTCTTTTTCTTTTCCCGATTAAAACTAACGAATGCAAATGTAAAACATGCTATAGAAAAGAAAAGAATAAGATTGCAATAATATCTTGTAAATCCTAATAGAAGGCTTAATTAGAGTTGAAATTTTTTTATCTACTGCTCCATTCATTTACACCAATCCGATAAATATATATATATATATATATATATATATATATATATATATATATATATATATAATCGCTTCAAATGATCCCGCGAAATTGGTAAATTACTGTGATTTGATATTAGCATTAGGTGATTTGATGGAGTGAATTTTATTTCGATAAATTCTTGTTATTCACAACACGTGCCCCGTGAAAAAGAAATCCCATAGAATAATACACATAAATGTAGCTGATCTCACCAAGATTACGCAATATACAGATCTCATAAAGTAGTGCGCCTAATTAATTAGGATATATACTTGCAAGTGGACCCTTTTGTGTTATCCAGAATTACAACTTTTTAGTTGCGTTCAAATGCTGATGGATCTCACAAACTTCTAGGGCAAAATTCACCAAGAATATTGTGAACAAGATAATTTTCTAAGACTCTAGTTTTAATTATTTTTCAGTTGATTTTGAAGTTTTTTATTACACATAATTAATATAAATTGCTGTCACACACGCGAACGAAATTTTCTTTCATGTCTTAGTGAACTTAAAATGTTACATTAAATAACGTAGAAGAATGACAAACATATTCATAGTTAGGGAGATTGTTAGAACAGTCTTGGTTCTTTGTAACTGCAGAATCAGGAGTAGTCAAAAATAGTCCCATATAGGGGACCCATAAAAGGGGATAATACAGCAGGACAGCCCTAATTAACTTTTTTTTTTTGGGTTTCACACGCCGTGTCCGGTACCCGCATTGGAGCTCAATTATATCTGGATTCACGACGCATAGAGCCAAGGACGGATCTAAAGGTGTATGGGTTCCCGGGAACCCAGTAGCTCTTGGCTAGATCCCGTATTTGTATTCAGAAAATCATTCAATGTATAAGAATATTTAGTTTGGAACCCAGTTCTTTAGTCCGGTTATTATAATAAATTAATTTAAAGTCGATGTAGGAACCCATAAACTTAAAATCCTGGATCCGCCTCTGCTTAGAGCCCTATTTGGGGGGAGTGCTCCCTACCAAGAATTTTTCCATACGCTAGGCTCAAACCCGAGACCCCTAGTCAGGAGAAAAGCAGCATCATCCACTGCACCACATCCTTCGGTAATGTCATCTCTTCATACACAAACTTTTCCTATCACCAAATATGGATGTTATATTCTTCTGCAGTCATTGCCTTTTTCTTTCATTTACCACTCTTTAAAAACATCTTATGTGTTATAAATAGAATTGTATTTATAGTGAATGTCTATATTTAAAGAGATTCTAGGGTTCATTGATTGGTGGCTAAGTCACCCTCTCCCTATAAATAGAGGGTTCTATTCTATTGTATTCATCCCAAATCAATAAGAATTCTCTCCCTCTACTTTTCTCTGCAATACTCTTCTTCCTCTTTTATTATTTCATAACACGTTATCAGCACGAGACTCTAACCAATTGAGTAGAAGCTTTGGGATTGAGCATAATGATTGTCAATTGTTCCATGAACTTTCTTCATGATTAAATTCTGGATTTAAGGTATGTATTTTATCTTATTTTTCTCTGTTATTCTATAATTTGATTATAAATACAAGCAAAGACGATAAATTTTGATTGTAACTCTAATGGAGTTTGAAAGAAATCATAACCACCCAAAGTGGTAAATATTCTATATCTTGCCATGATCAAATTCATGTATGATTATGAGCACAAGAATTGAAAACCCGTCCCATTGAATTTGCTCCATTCTCATTCCCTTAAGAGAATGTGATAGCACTATGTGATAAGTCTGAAAGAAGATAAAATTACTACTATGAATGTATCAATGGATGTGGACGTGGCAATAGACGAAATTGTAATCGTCATCATTGTGATAATGAGAATAATAAGGATTCTCAAAATAATCCTTCACTCTGTGAAACTAATATTTGTCATCGATTTGACATGAGATTTTATTAAGCACATATAGATGATTATGGTCCATTCATGATGTGAATGTGACAACATGTGATTTATGAATATATATTCATTCTTGGAAGAATATAAATGTGCTAGTGTTAGTGAATATGCCACACTCACCTCTAGAAGGAGGTTTGAGATGAATTAAGAAAATAATTCCATTATTATGGAATGAATGATCATTTATCACATAACTATTTTGATTGTGCCAAAATATTATGGCAATGTAATTATTACAAGGCAAAAGTAATGAAAACAACATATC